GAGCAAACAAAGAGATAGACATGGGAAAGTACAAGACCTGGAGCCTCTCCTAAAGCTGCCAAAGGGGAGCCAATCCTGCCAGTAGCTTGATTTCAGCCCACAAAGCCATCTCAGACTTCTGACCTCCTGAAATAAGGAGCTCATATTGCTTTAAGCATAAAATATGAGTCCTTATCTTTTAGATACTTCTTGATATGTTGTCTCACTGCTTGGTATGTTGTCTCACTGCTTTTCTGTGTCCACTGTGCTGTGGAAGGAAAGAGTTGTCAAGAGGCCACGGAGGCTGAGGGGCACAGAGGTGGGCTGCAGACACTTCATTTTGATGGAATCATGAATATTCAAACATGCAAATGATATACTGTATCTACAACTCCCAGAATCTTAAACCCTCTTTGGGGGGTATCTTGGGGATTTATCTCTGTGTAGAAAATGGCTCTGCAAAGTGAGTCAGCTATCTTCTATCTGACCCTTCCATCCCATCACCTGTTAATTGTTTCTATAGATTATGACATATACTGCAAGGGAAAGGATTCTTTTCCTGTCTGTCTGTCTGTCTGTCTGTCTGTCTCTCTCTCTCTCTCTCTCTCTCTCTCTCTCTCTCTCTCTCTCTTTCTCTCTCTCTCTCTCTCTGCCCTCTCTTTACTTCTCTTTTTTCTCCTCATCTCCTCCCTCTGTCTCTCTCTTTCCTTCTTTCTTAATTACTCTGAAAAAAATGTAAACCTATGCAAACAGAAAGACTAGAATATCGAACCATTATGGATTCATCCCGTTTCAACAATTAATCCATGACCGACCTTGTTTCATCTATATCGCCACCTACCCACTCCTTAACTTCCAGGTTTATATTGCAAACACAGGAAAAGAAATTTTCCAAGTCTTCAAAGTAAGCTCCTCCCCAGAGAACAGAAGTAGGGACATGATGTCAGGGTCAGTGCACCCTAAAGAGGACAATTTTCTTCATGAGCCTGAAACAGAAGGACCAAGCCCCTGTCCTTTGCAAGAAGCAAGTGTCCTGGGGTAGGGAATCTGGCATAGAGGCCAGGGTGGGGCTGGGACACTTTCCTCCACCCAGTTTCCTGAGAGGAGAATTTTCTGAGCTCCTTGTGGACCTCAGGAAGCTCTGCCACCCAAGCAACTGGCCCTGCACTAGGGCCTTGGCCTGCCAGTGACATGGGCAGAAGACTGACCAGCTCCCCAGGCCAGCAAGTGGAGGACAGAGGAGTCATTTCCTAAAGGTACTTCTCTGAGCTCTCATAGTCCCATGGAATCAACTAACCAGCCAAGGAATGAAAAGGTGAATCCCCCCAATCCTCAGTGGGACAGCCTGGACCCTCCTTCTGTAACAAGGATGCTGCTTCCTTCCTTCTACATTCTTTTGTTCACCTTTCTGTCCTGTACTATCTCCTCTTTCTCATCTCTCTTGATCCTGATGGTCTAAAGAATGAGCTGGATGCTCTTCCTGGGAGCCCTCATGATTGCCAGCCCACACAGACTCTCTCCCTCTCCTCAACATACTCTCCTCAGTTGCTCTTGCTCTGCTTTGTACACTCCAAGTCATATCAGGAAAGCAGCTCCAGGAAGGGTTCTCTGGTTAATGAGCTAGAGTAAGCAGGAAGGAGTTGCTGGAGGACGGAACCCCAACAGTGCCCATGCTTCCACAGAGCAGGTGCACTTCTCTTGAGTTGATCCTAAGGCCCCAGTAGGGTGCATAGATCAGTAGCATCCTCTCACCTGCCTGCTTCCTCATTCTAAGACTCCTCTGGCTGAAACATCAGTGGGTCTGCAGCAGCCTCTGTACCATAGCCCTTACGTTTTGATTTCCATTGTTCCTCACTCCCTGCAAGGAAGGGACTCAGTGCCTCCACTTCACAAATTTGTGAACCAAGGTACAGATAATACAGACAGCACCAGTGGGGGATCCCGACCTCCCCCACTCTACTCCCCTGCACCTAAGCAATAACTCAGGCACAACCTTAACTCTGCTTTTGATCTTACCAAGCTGGTACAAATATAAAAAACAGATTCTAGGCCCACCAGGAAAATCCTGAAAATTCCAAACCAAACATTTGACATCCTTGCCTGATCTAGAATAACCTTTGCTTCCCTGGTGCTCAATGAAAGTTCATGCATATGGACTCTTATACATAAAATTATAATAGAGCGAATTATGGAAAAGGACATGTACAATAGATGTGCAGGCCTGACTCAGCACCCTGTCAATCAAGCTGTCAATCATGTCATAGAGCCTGCACTCCCATGGGAGATGCCTTAAAGTAGGTGAGACATTGAAACCTTTACACCCTACACCCTCAGAGCTCGTGCAATTTTCCTTGCATGGGTACTTATTCCAAGTATGCTTCCATCCCTATGAAAGTGTGCTATACTCAATTCATTGTCAAACACAACAATCTGGGAACTCATCTCCAGGCCCAAACTGCCAGCAACACAAAGATACTAAGTAATTTACCCAAGATCATGCAGCAAGACAATGACACAGGCTGCCTTTGTCTGCCTCCAAAGCCAGCACAGGTAAGCAACTCCTGGCTGCAAAAGATATAGCCAGCATTGAGCCACGTGTGCAAGAGCCCTCCTGAGAGAAGGCTCAGAAGGACAGCGTTACTGCTTCTGTCTAGATGCCCCTCCCAAACCTTATGCACTCATAGGTGCAGCCTTTGGCAATGACTGGATCATGGGTGTGTAATACTAGACTAGTCTACTGAATGGTATAATGTAGTTTGGGGTGTGAATGAATGGATCTATTGAAGATGGAAGATCCCCATAAGTGCGAGTGGCACTACTTTATAGGCTTGTAGCTTGGATGGAATAAAAAGGAAAAGCAGAAGGAAGGGTGCTGTGTCTTGCTTTCCATAGCATGAACTGTGTCCCCCCTTCCATGACACCCTGCCTTAGAGCCAGCTGATGGTGACTGAAACCTCTACAACTGTAAACTAAAATATATTTTTTCTCCTTAACTTGGGGGTATGAGATATTTTGTGCTAATGATGAGAAAGTAACTAAGACAGGCAGGAATATAGTGACTTTTTAGGGGTGTAGACAAAGATACAGGTAGATACTAAGTAAAGGCAATGCAATTGGGTGCTATGTATTTGGGCTGCCAGCTTAGAAGACAGAAATCAGAAAATTAGGCATGTCCACAGAAATGGCCAGATCTTGGTTCTTTGAGTGGACAGAGGAGGCTTGGAGAGGTGGGAGAAGGCATGGTAGGGGACCAGAACTGATTTGTCCCCGACCACACCCTACCAGCTTGGGTCTAAACTACCTTAGGACCCAGCACAAAGGGAGAAGGTTGAAGAGGTTAGGAATCCAGATGGCTGAGCTGGATGGTGCCACAGGGAAGAAAAAAGACTTTAGACTAGTTGAGGGTGGCCAAGGAACAGCCAGTTCACTGTTTAAGTCTTCACCTGTTCTTCCATTCCCACAAGTCAGGATAACATGGAAAAGCAAGAGAGTGACTAGCACTGTTTAGGAGTTTGGACAATTCAGGCCAGGTTGGGCCCTCCCATGCCCCTGAATGAACTATACATGTGTCTTCTTGTACCTTTGGTCTGGGGAGAAGTGGGGTAGGCTGCCTTGGCTACCCAGCTAAGAAGAGCTCTGGGCTGGCTAGCGAGGGCCAGTGTCTGTGTGAACAACCAACAGCCTGAGCACCTCAGAGTCCAATGGAAGAAAAGAAGATGGCAAAAGGCTGACAGGGATACAACTGTGGCATTCAGCCAGGGCGATTTTGCCCTCCCACCAGGGCTTAAACTTGCCAATGTCTAGAAGCATCTGTGGAACCCACTGAGGTCTAATGAGTGGAGGCCAAAGATGCTGCTAAGCATCCAATACCTAACTAATTCTCACCCCCATGCCCATAATAAAGAGGCATATGGTCTCAAACACCACTACAGCTGAGGTTTAGAATCTTTGCTGTGGAGCAAGGGAGGAGAGAGAAGCTGAGATCTGATTCACTCCCTGGGAGGAACCTGTCGCTTCCCGAGGAAGGGGCATCTTTTGCTAACTCTGCTAAATGCACTGCGAAGACTAACCAGAGCCCCAGGTGAGGAAGGCATGGTAGTGCTGCTAGAAGGGAAGAAAATGTACCTGGTGTCACCAGGCTGTGATGTGTGCTAAAAGCAATTTAAAAAGAGAGCTTTTGTCTTTAATGGAGGGCCAAAAAGTCAACCACTGTGATTATGTCATCTCCTTAGAGGCAAAGAGCCATTTTAAAGCACTGTGACAGACCTATACGGGTGACAAATAAGACGTGATCAAAGACGTTAATGGCAGTACTGCTTCTAATAGTGAAGGATCAGAAGCAGCAGAAATGTCCCCCAACGGGGGCCAGGCTGGATGCACAAGGGCTGACGGTGCAGAACAATGGGGGTGCGCTGCATGTGCGGAAATGGGTAGGCCCGCAGGAGGGGAGCAGGGAGACAAAACAAGCCATACATTGCTAGGCTCTTACACTGGCTTAGGACAGCAGGTCTCAAACTTGATCCTGCGCCAGAATCTCCTGAGAGCTATATAGCTGTCTTCAGATAACCTCAACTTTGCTTCCACTTTCTCCAGAAAGATGCGGAGTGCACCTGAGTTCTCCCCAAAGTTGAACAGCCCAGCTGCCCCGGGCCTGGCCTCCTCTGGAGCACCGCCCCTGGGCACAGAGCTTTGGACAAAGGCCTGTAAGTGGTCTCTTCCCCTAATCAGCCCAGCAGACCAGGAGGGGACGGATTTGCAGTCCTCAAGAGGCCGCCGACTGTGAGAGGTTCGCAGCCTTTGAAGGAATCTCTCAAGACATGAAGGGATGGGGTCAGTAAAGGAGCCCTTCACCTCCCACGGTCTCCTCTTCCTTTCTGGGGACGCAAACAGCAGATCCGAAGCAAAAGGCGCTAGAAACAAATGTGCCCCGCACACCCTGCCTCCGCCCCATCCCCGTCCCCGCCCCCGCCCCCGCCCCCCTAGCTGGGAGGAACGACTGCTACAGTGGATCCGCCCCCAAGCTTTGTACTCGCTCCTTATCCAGCTGTCCCAACCGTGCGGAGCCCCCAGTCCCCCGAGGGCCAGCGTTTCCGGACCGCCCACCACCTCGATCGCCCCTGCAGCCTCCGCCCGCTCAGAGCTCAGAGCCCCTCCCGCCTGCTGCGTGGCCGCCAGTCCCCAGTCGCTTCCTGAAATGCCAGTGGACTTCACCGGGTACTGGAAGATGCTAAGCAATGAGAACTTCGAGGAGTATCTGCGCGCCCTGGGTAAGCGCTGGCCGCCACTTTCTGTGGGCCGCCTAGGTCTTTCCTGGAGTCTTCCCCGAAGTCCTCCCCAGAATCCTCTTGAGGTTCCCCTCCCACCGCACACACGCCGAGAGAGCCGAGGACCGGGCACCCCTCACCAGCGATGGCGACCAGAGGGCTGCGAGTTGGAGGATCCAGGTTGTTAAGGTTAATTGGTGGCAAGTGTCTGACAGTTGGCTCTGAATGTGTGTAATGTAATTAGCAAAGTTGGACTTGGTTTGCTGGGTTTTGTTCCTAAGGGGTTAGTATGAAGGTAGAAAACTTTGTTGCCAAAGGGGGGAAAAATGAATAAATAAGGCTTAGACAGGCTGGGCCCAGAGAGCACAAAGCAAGCAGGTAAATCAAAACTGTGTTCCTGGTTGCAACCACTCGTGGGACCCAGCTCTGTTGGGAAGGTTCTTTGAGTTTTCCTGTCAAAACTTCCTCCTCTGTCTTTGCACACCTTGTAGATGTCAATGTGGCCTTGCGCAAAATCGCCAACTTGCTGAAGCCGGACAAAGAGATAGAGCAGGAGGGGGACCACATGATCATCCGCACGCTGAGCACTTTCAGGAACTACATCATGGACTTCCAGGTCGGCAAAGAGTTTGAGGAGGATCTGACGGGCATAGATGACCGCAAGTGCATGGTGAGGATTTGCGAGTGCTGGGTGTCCCCTGCCCAGGGGCACTAAAGACCTGTAAGGTGGGGAGAGGAGCCAGGGCCTTGGGTCCTGTAGGACTGCAGATCTTCCCACTCCCAGCCCCAGGGTAAGCAGCGCTACACAAGGAGTGGAGCAGACCAGACCAGACTAGACAGCCATTCACCCAAGGTCTGCTGAGTGGGGCTATCCTGCCTGCAGGCCAGGTGCTTTTCTCCTCTCCCACACCATGCAGCCTTAGAGGCAGATGAGAGCTTGTCCAGTTTCAGATGAGGAAACAGTCTCAGAGAGATGACACTTCCAGAGGAGTGCCATTAAGGAGGAGTAGGCTGGAATTCCAGACAAGTGAGTGGACTCTCTTCTCCTCTGACTTAAAACAGAAGGGAAGAAACAGCAAATACAGGGAACCCTGCTGAAATACAAGCTCTAAGCCACAGGGCCAGCATGGTTTCTGCTGTGGCCCTCTAGCCACTTCCTGTGGACCTTTTCACCTACTCCTGAGGTCAGTGTCCCCGCTGCCCAGGCAGAGGAAGCAGCCGTGGGGGAGGGAGAGGGCCCTGAGCCATTCATTCCCCAAGGGTGGGAAGCTGGTGACCAGGAGACCCCAATTAATCCTACCACAGCAGATTCCGGAAGGTCAACCCCAGGCTTCCAGCAAGGGTATGGAGAGGTCAGGGTGTTCTCAGGCATCCTGTCATGATCTTGGGTCCAGAACCGATTTATCTTCAGCCCAGAAGCTCCCTTGCTTATCACCTACCCCTCCGCACCCCCACTGGGCTGCCGTCTTTATGGTAGGTCTGCTGCTCACCCTTCCCTGTGCCAGTCGAAAACACCACAGCCTTAGAGAGGAGGAATTGGAACTGCTGCTGTTTGGTGATTAAGGCTCAGCGAAGGGAAGAGACGGTGCTGAATAGCCTTTGCAGAAAGGGGAGGATAGTGGCTGCCCTGCCTTGTCTAGGAATAAGGAGCCCCCACCCTGCTTATTCATCAGAAGGGAAGGCAGTCAGGACTGGTGTCTGAGTACTGTTTGGAATGATGGGAATGGGAAGGAGCCAGCCAGGAGTGTCCTTGGAGGCAAAACACTGGAGGGAAATGGCGTGTTGCATCCTGCCTTTCAAATCTCAAGGCCCCTTAATCAGTGAGAGAGGAGGCTTCCAGATAGGCTGGGCCTTTTTCTTCCCTGCTCAGCTTGCTCTCTGTCCACTGCAAGGGACTCTGTTCCAGGAGGACAGCCCTCATCCCCAGCTCCCTTTTGGGTGCTGTCAGAACATATCACATATCTGTGGGGGTGCCATGGCCACTTGTACTTGGTCAATGGCATTCACTCTTTTGTTCTTTCCTTTGTCCAGTAACCCCAGAAATATTTGTGGACCAGATCCTAATACCTGTGAATATTCACAGAATTTTCAAGGCGTTTTCTGTGTGCTAGGTACTGTTCATATTTCGTATAAATTCACAGTCCACTGTCCAGTCCTGCTTTATGTACAGGATTTCTCATTGTGTGATGTTGTGGAGGTTCACTGAGTGGCAGAAGCTCTGAGTTAGCCACTATGCATACTGTAGTCTTTGTGATACAGACAGACACAAATAGCGACAGTGGTGACAATGGAAGCCATAGGGTCAGGGTTGGAGAGACTATGACCACCCAGCAGAGCGCTTTGCAGCTTTCTGAAGGCAGTCCCTTCTGCACTTAACTGGAAAAGAAAAAGGAAGTGAAAGGGAGGAGATGTACACAAAAGAAGGATTAACAGCCAATTTAGTTTTTGAACTCAGTATGGTAGCTTGGGACAAACTCGATGCAACTAGGCTGGGTCTCTTGGTCCTGTTCAGTGCTCCAGAACTCAGGGAGGCCTCACCTTGCAGTTGCCTGCTGGGAGGCAGGAGAGCCCTGGCACTTCGCTGCCTAGGCTTCCCTGGCTAATGCACTGCAGAGAAACCCTTCTTTCTGGGCTACCTGATGGGCAGTGTATGACTTGAGACCGCCATGAGGAGATTGGTTGGGGTGGGTATGGGATAATAGAATCATGGAGCTTTCATTGGAGGAGACCTGGGGACCAACAGGCCACCTTGGCTGAGCTTCTCAATAGGCCCCCAGATGTCCTGAAAGGAGTGATTGTCAAAGATTACTTTTAACACTACACCTTCTGCCCTGCACGCTCAGAACCGACCAGCCAGGAACAGTGGGCAGGACTGTTCACAGTATGTTACAGGACTTACACTCTCACCTTGGAGCATTTACCTTTTGTTTTGTTCATTTCCTCTCGTTTGAGTCCCATGAGGATTACAGGGTGTCAGTGTGATGGCTTGTGTCCTCACGGAGTGATACAGAAGTAGTTGGGGAAGCGATCACACTGTAGTATAACCAGGAAGAGCAGCACCCTGGGAGGTCAGGGAGGTGTCCCACAGAGCGTAAGTCTGCACTGAGACTTGGAGGAAAACAAGAAGGAGGCAGGCAAACAGAAAGAAGAGAGGAAGACCAAGGCCAAGCAAACAGTGTCTGGTAAATGTTATTCCATTCCTATCCCACACCAGGCCCTGAGCTCAGCCTGGACATACAAGGTTGCCTGGATACCCCGGTGAGTGGAGGAAACAGAAACATCTTTGGGTCTTTGCAGCCTAGTGCATGATGGGAGAACCAGAGGACTCCAGATACACAGAGCTGTAAACAATGGTAAGGGAAGGTCCCAAGGAGGTAACAGCTGAGTAGACCCTTGAAGGACAAGTGAGAATTAGGGCAGATTGGAAAAGGGAGTGATAGCATTTCAGAGCAAACCAAGCACACTAAGGCGCAGAGATCAGAAAAGGCCTGGTCAAAAGGGTGTTCAGCAGTGTACTCTGCAAGGCTCGAGAGTATGACTGGAGTGCACAGTGTGGAGTACGGAGCAATGAGGACCTGACGGAGGCCTAGGTATGACTTGAAGGGTGAAAGGGATGGGGGTCTCTACTAGGCAGGTGTGGCCAGGTTGACACACACATGCAAAGGCCCAGAGGCCCTGAGGCTCTGAGATCTCTGATCCTGCCTGTTTTTTATAGGAATCTTATCTGTATTCTAGTGCAATAGCCAGAGGGTGGAATCTGGCCTGCAGACGCATTTTGCTTGGCCTGCACAATGTTTTCAAAATCTTAAGAGACAGTTGCCAGAGATAGCAGAAGATAAGATTTCATAGAAAAATCCCTATTTCTGGTTGTTCTTAAACTCCTTCCCCTCAAAGAAGAAATCAAAAGAGCTAAAAGCACCACATGCCTACCTGTTCCTGTGTTGTATGGATCTCTGGGACACTGTCCTACTTGTCCCCTATGGGTAGACATCCTCCAGCCCACCATAATCCTCGCTACCTGGTTACCAGAAGTTAAGGATCAAGTGTCATTTGTCACTGCCGGCTCTGTGTTTCTTGGGGGCACAGGGTAACAGTGTGAGGCAGCACACAGCACAAGGAACTTCTTAGAAACATAGATTCACTGCCCGTAGCTCTGGCTGCCTCTGTCAGAAGTTCTGGTGTGGAAGGGCTTGATCAGATACAACTGATCTTGAGAATCACTGCTTCAGAGTAAAGAAGGACATGTCTGCATCTTCACAAAAAGAGAAAAATCTATGAAGTTAGGCAAAGAGGGCCCTGGGCTACTGGCCAAATGTGTCTGTCATCTGACTCCTACAAGTGTAATAGTCCATGTCCAGAAACAACTGAAATGTCCGTGTGGTCTCTCAGCAGAGAGGGTGCAGGGGAACTCAGAGCTGTGTGGCTCTGGACCCCGGAGCTCGAATTTCCAGTCTGGTCTGCCAGATTGTGCAGCACCCATGAACAGCTATGGCCATGTCTTTGGTGGATGTGGATAAAGGCTGGGCTTGGCCCAACAGGCACAGGGCTCTTCTCCACTGCCTCCCGCACCCTTTGTCCATTAAAATGCAGGGTCAAACCCAAGGAAAGCCAGGATCATTTGTCAAATATGGCACATGGGACTTTGGCAGGGAGGGGGGCCTGTGAGACAAAAAAGTGCTCTTCACCTGCAAGTAATGTCTTCCCTTCCTGGGCAAGACAGTTCCTCAGGGTCATTCAGTTCTTTCTTCCCAAGTCCCCCAGAGTGGGGAAAGACTGAGCCTCAGGTGGGAATCATAGCCCTGAGCCTGGCTTTGCATGGTGGTGGCAGAAAGGCCATTTACCATTCCATAGTAGACACCAGGTCAGGGTTTCCCTGGAGGAGGCCGCTTTGTTGGCTTGGGCCTGGTCCCTCCTCCCCCAGCTGTAGCCTCCCCTTCACATCCAGCCTTGAACTCCGGGTGACCCTTCCATGGGGCCTCCCTTCCACTCCCAGCCCTCACTCCCTGCTGCTTTCTTTGTTTTTATTATAAAAGAGAAAAATTCAAATAGCCCAAGAGTACAGACTGAAAAGAAAAGGACCTCACCCCTTGCCCCCCCTTGGCCAGTTCCCGCTTCCTAGAGCTTGTCACCAGTACAGTTTGTGGTAAATATCCAGAAGTCCTCCTGTAGGTAAGCTATCTAGTGATTTGATCAACTGGTCACTCAGCCTAAAGCTAAAGGAAAGGAGGGAGGCTGCAAAGGGGTGGAGAAGGAAGGGAGAAAAGAAGAATCCACTTCGTGCACATAGATCTCTGTAGGTGTCTTTCCACATTGGCACTTACAGATTTTCTAAACCTTGTTTTAACAGTCTCTATTCCCTTCTCTTCCCTCCCTCAGTCCTTACTTGCATCTGTCTTGCCATCTATGTAATTATATATGGTAATACACAAATCCACCTCCACTTTTAACTTCACTTTAAACTCTTGCCAGCTCTCTGATCCTGTTCTTGACCCATTAGAGCGATCTTTTGCTTCTTATGTTGACGACCACAGTGCCCATGGCAAAATTAACTCCCTGAGCTGCAGAGCTGAGAATTCTTTCAGGTGGTCAAGCCTCTGAGAGCCCCCCCCTGCCCGGAGCAGGCGCCACATTCAGCTGGGTCCTTTCCAGGATGGAAACACAGGGTCTCTT